GTGAGGTCATCGCAATGCCGTCAGATCCGCAGGGTTCAAACCAATTGTCACCATGTATGTACACATGCATACACCCATGCAGTGCAGTCAGGACTCACATAGCTACATAGGCCAGACCTACTTGTGCTTATGTGTGTGTTAGCGCACATAAGCACAAGTAGCTTAGATTTCATATACCCATAAAAAAACGGCTGTATCCTGGCATTGAGAGGATATCGCTCCCTGTCGTTGCTCACTCAATAACCCTTTAGTTGTTTCACAAACCTGTGTTCTTTGTTTCAACAGAGGGGAAAATAAACACATTGTGGAACAGGGGATTTGGCACAGCCCAAGTGTGTTGTTGGATTTGGGGCTGTTCAATCACAGCGAGAGCAAGCCAGCGCTGCTTAGGTTTGGGCTTGATCTGCAATCATCGAGAGGGGAAAGAAAGGACTCTTTCATGTGCTATTGCAATTAACAACCCCCACACTGGCATAATAAATCACCAATAAGAGCTCAAAGTGATTATTCTTAAGCAGAAATAAGGAAAAGAGAGAGAGGAAAAAGGGGAGAGATGGATCTATTCTCTTGTCATTTCCCAACAAAGCTTCCCATTTCTCCTCTAATGCCATTCACATGTCCAGGAAACCGGCCTGGCAGACAGGGAGTATAGGAAATCTATCTGCGTGTTTGAATGTTTTATCTGGAGCCAGACTCGGAGTGTACTGTAGACCTGCCAGGACAACACACTTTGGACCCGGCGCTCGTACATGCAGTGATGGAGGATCACTGGATGATCTGTGTTTGCTTTCATCAGGCTACGTGAAGCTATATGAGCACCGATGTATCTTTGAACAATTAGCATTAATTAAGAGAACCTCCCCACGTTTATGTAACAGCAGATAACTGTGCATACTACGTGTTTATTACAGTCTCCTGGGGGAATCTCTGTTGGTTTAGATACCACTGTATCCTCCATGACAATATGTGTCTAGGGATTAAATGGAAGCATTAAAAACATAAGAAAAGATAAATAAACAAGACCTCAGTTTGTCACTGTGTTTATCAGATTATTATGGGTTTCTGGGTGTCATGCATTGTGAATGTGACAATAGTAGCCGTTTTGCTCCTTTCATTTTACCACTGCGCTCAGAGGAGGGTTAGCTTTGGTTTCTTGGTCTTTTGCTTTCACAGATATTTGTGGAAGTGTCATTCCCAGCAGAGACGGTTTACAAGTGAGTCATCAGGACCATCTTTACCACTTCTCTCTCTCTCTGTCTCTCTCTCTCTATGTCTTGCTATCTGCCTGTTTCTTTTTCTTACACCATTTAATCCATACATACATATATTCAAGATACTGTATGTAAGAAGTGGATACAAAACAGGAAGACAGAGAAGGAGTGAGAGAGAGAAAGAAAGAGAAAAGCCCTCCAGCCTCTTGTAAACATGCTGTAGCTAGAGAGGCTGTAACGCTCTCAGTGCCACTCTCTCAACAACGCTAATTATCAACCAAAGACATGCTAATTACATAGAGCTTTATTGCTAATGTAGCAGGCCTCTATGCCAGCCGCCCACACTCTGAGCTCCGCTCCCCTACCTCTGCCTCTCCTCCCACTACACCTTCAGGCACAGCAGCAGCAGAATAAGAGAGTTTGCTTCTGCGTACTTCTTAAGACGAGAGCTTTCCATGAATTTTACACTATATGTCATGTATTAGACGCCATATTTAGGCTCTTGTTGTTGCAGTAACTTTGTCTTCACCCCTACATCCAACCCTTCATCTTGTACTTGACCTCGTAGTCATCATCCTGCCAGCTCAACAGGAAGTCCACTTCGCTCCTGCCTCCCCCCAAACTCAACCAACCCACCCACGTTCCTGCACCTGTGACGTAGCCTAGCATCGGCGCACAGGGCCCAGCGGGAGCGATCCAACCCACCATTCCCTCTCGCTCCCCCCTAAACCTCCTCCTCCTCCCTCGCCATGCTAAACGTGCCAGTGTCAGCCCCGTGGCCAATCCCGTTAGCAAGCCGTAGCTAAGGCTGAAGGCCTCTTCAGATCGATTTCTCCCACTGCGAGTCGCTCAGAGATTTTGGAGCCTGAGTCCTCCAGGGATCACAGTGTAGGAAGTGCTCCACAGCACTCTCCCCCACCAGGCTCTTTAGCGTCTTCCCCTGACACAGCTGTTTACACGTTAACCATCCCCTGCTCTATAATGGAGACAGTTAAAGAGAGAGCTTCAAAGCAGGAAGCTCTTGTCACAGGCACTTGCTAGAACATGTGACGATTCTCTTCATGGGTTCAGCTGGGGCAGGCTAATACACTGAATGAAGCGTGGCTGAAGGGCTTGGTGCATAAAGGATATCAGTGCTTATAGGCACACTGGGAATACGAGTTTATGCTAAATTGGTTAATGTAAATTATATAATGCATCGAGGATTATTCTTCATTCCCTCTGATATGGATTTCTTTTAAGCCTCAAACCAAGCATTGGGGAACAACATAGATGTAAACAGCTTTGCAGATTATTTTAAGTTTTAGAGTTGCACGATATAACTATGGAAAAACTGTTTCAAATAATCTAACCTTACAAAGTTGCAGCCTAACCTACATTAATAATTCATAAAAGCCATAATAATATTAATTGAAGGGACTAAGAGCTCATGCTATATTGCAGAAGAGGACAAGTTGTGTCTAGCTGATTTATTTGTGCTTCTTAATACTTTCCATGATAATGCACCCAGTCCATTCTCTTTGTTTTCGTCATTAGGTTGGCTGTATGTTGAGTGCTGTATCACTTGATGCATGAGCTACATTAACACACATACATACATACATATTTGACTGCGGAAGAATGACAGCAGTAAATCATTGCTTCCTTTGCATGGGCAATCTGTGGATTTAATGCTGTGATTGAACTTGAAGACGTCCAAAATATACTTTTCAAGTATACAGATACATTTCCAACTAGATCACTGTGCTGACTGGAAAAATGATATCACTTATTTCTATTATTGGGTCTCCATGCGTGAAGTATTTGAAAAACAATTGTCAACATCATCAATTAGCGGAATGGTGTATGAGGAACTTGTGCCAAAAATAGTGGTTTAGCAGTCAAATATTTCTCAGAGCAGAGATAAGGTTTCACAACAAATCTTCAACCACCTTAAAATGAAAATGGAAAATGTTTTCACTCAACTCAGTAAAAACCCCTCATCAATAGTTGTAAAAGTCCCGTACCAAAATACAGTCGAGAAAAAAAATAAAAGCAGAAGACAATAAAAAGAAAAGACTGACTTGAGCAACATATGGTACAATATAAAGCTGTCAGACTTAAGATACTGGTGCGCATGTTAGATGCACAGTAGGATCTTCCAGCATCTCTTTAATGTAATATTGTGTTTAAACAATGCAAATCAATACATCCAAAGGTAAGTTTGGTATTCTTTTCAGTATGATTAAAATTCTGACTGTGGATTGTGATTGTGTATGAAAAAAGATTTTGGTATGATTTTAGATCACTCAATAGTTTTGCATTTTTGCCTCTCAAAGCATTTTGACTTAAAACATGCTGGAATTTGTATTTATATAGAATAAAGGAAGGGGAAATGCAGGACCAGATTTCTCCCAAAGTGAAACACATTTGTTATCAGTGTGTAAATTCAAATGGTTTGTCGTCAGGGGCAGAGTGCCATCTGGAATAGGAGTATTCCCGGAGGACCTGTCCACCCGTGGGCGTGCAACAAGCCCACAAACACCCATATGAGAAGATAAAAAACATGTCCCACGCTGTTTGATCCTGTATTTAAGTGGCCAGCCTGCGCCAATACATTCAGTGCTGTATCTATCCTCAGTTTTCCTTTGGAACATTTAGTCTTTTTCAAACATTGAGCTGATAAAGACAAACATATGGTGACAAACGTAAAGATGATCTTTCAAATTAACATTATAAACAAAAGGGAGAACATTTGAACACAGTTGAGGTTTTTCAGACCTCTAAGCTAAAACTAAATATACAATAAAAACTTGAAAATTTCAGTATAATTTGAAATATTTTAAAACTAGGATGCATAACATGTATTAAAATTGTGGGGCAGTGGGTGAATTGAATGTGTATTCTGAATCATAAATTACATTTTCATGCTGTATTATAGTAGAATTTTCAATATAGTTTATCTGAATTGGCAAATCTAATACAAAATAATCATCATATCGCTATAAAGATTCCATGTGACAAGCAGAGAGAGAATATTTAATGTACTATTTGTTATTCATTCAGCACTACTTTGTGGGACAGGTGCAGTTTAATCTGCGAGCGTGGTGCGAGTATAAATGCATGAGCAAAAGAGCGAGGGATAAACTCTGCATGAATGCATGGGTCCCTATGTGTGTGTGGCCCAACAGGTTTGTCAGAGGTCCAGCGTGAATGTTGCATAACGGGTTCACAGTGAGAGCTTAAGGACCTGGTGTCTCTCTGTGTCATTTCCTGCTTTATCTACCTGCCTGCTGCCTGGCCTGCAAGGCTGCTTAACATTGCCTTGAGCCATACAAGTGACACGTGTCCAGACCAAGTCCGATCAACGGCTCTAAGAGGCACATCGGTGGTGACAGGACACAGAGGGCAGGCGCTGGTGATCACACAGCACAGGAGCCACTCTTAAAGGCCCGGATCAGTGATTTACTTTTATATCGCAAAGTACATGCAGCGAGAATAAGATGATTTAAACAAACATATGTTGTTGAAGTAGTTGACATACTGTGAGTCTTATACCTTTTCTAAAAGTGATTGATATTGTGACTGAACCCTTGGGGAAGACTGACGAACTATGGGAGCAATTAATTCTTACACTATGCTAGGTGTGAAGACCAAAAGAGAGAAGTAAGGGTTGCTGAATGAGTCACAAACACAGTTACCATCTGTCTACTTTTCCGTTTCTGTGTGTTTGCATGAGTGTGCGTGTGCGCGCTCCCATTCGCGTGAGTGCTTGTGCATGTGTGCCGTCTGTGTTTTCTTGTAACTCACCTCCACAATATCAGAGTTGGTCCTGCTCTCGTGGGGCTCGTTGTACTCGGTGTATTTAAGCAGAACCTTGTCCATGTCTGTGCTGGCGTACTGGAACAGCTTGTTGGTGCTATTGAAGATGATCAGGGCGATCTCACAGTCGCACAGCACGCTCAGCTCATAAGCCTTCTTCATCAGGCCAAACTTTCGCTTTGTGAATGTCACCTAGGTAAAAGATAAGAGAACAGAGAACAAGATCGATGTATAAAAATTCTAATTCTTATTAAAAGGAGGAGACAGGTTTTATTTTTATTCTCACACCCACATTAAACTGAAAATTGCCCTTACAGTCAAATCAGTCTTTTTTACCTGAAATACTGTAATTCCAACCCTAGACCTTTTCATTCTGTACTGAGTGAATAAATCTAACTTTTACTCTTTCAAATAATTAGTTCTCAGGAAAACAACATTAAAGGAAAAGCAAAGTCTACTGATTGTTCAACAAACCCTGACTGTAACAGTGTATCCTCTATACCAGGAAAAAGTTAAGAAAAAAAAGCTGGGCTTTCATTTAAGGAACTGAAAACACTCTGTCTCAGACAGATAACGGTAAGGAAGATCAGTTATTTCTTCTGCATCAAAGTGTACAGAGGTTCATCGAGGAGCATATATGTCAAGTTAAATTATCACCTTCAGATGACCTAAATGGGCTTGGTCTATAAAACCTGCTTTGTGCTCCAAAGCAATGCACAGGACTGTTTTGATCTAAAAAAAAGAAACAGACAAGACATAGCATTTTCTCACAGTGATATTAACACACATTGTTCTGTTGCCCAATTAACTGCCTCATAGTGAACAACACGCCATTGATATAAATAAAGAATGGAGTCCCTGACTCTGTTTGAGTGCTCAAATAGCAGCGATGAACATAAACCACAAAAATTGTCCTTTGTAATGGGGCCTGTTTTCTTCTCTCTCACTCCGTTTGTGGGCATGTGCAAGTGTGTGTACTTGTATGTGAGGCCTTAGACCAGTTCCTTTAATAAGACGGGCATACAAGTGCCCACATTGTCAAAATAGAACAGCTTCTATTCTTCCTCTATTGTTTGGATGAAAAAAACTAGAGCAGTGAAAGTGAGTTAATTCTGGGGAGCTGCACCTGGTTTCTTCTCTGAACCATGTGTGCGAGCTCTCGTATGTCTGCATGGGAAAAAATGCGCCTCTGCCAGCTTCTCTCTGAGCAACACTGCTTCTTTTTATTAGAATTTTCTTTTCTTTTCTTCAGTGACTGTGTGTATTAAGGACACTGGAGATCTGTATTGACAAAGATTTTTACTGAGCGGAAACACTGCCAGCACAGTGCCCAGCTGGTAGCTAATGATCTCAGTTTGTTGATTAACTGCATGTTTGTCTATTCTCTTCTGACACTTAGCTGGGCCAAAAGAATACAGAGAGAAAACTCATAACTCTCAGTTATGTTCTGAATACATTAATACCGACAGTAACTGTGGGTTATAAAGGCCTTTAAAAATAAGAGATCCATGTGTGTGTGGATCATGAATAGATTTGTGGTGAAAATCTATTGTGCACTGCCCTTCACCTTTTCTTTTTACAACTTTGAGACCTGAAAGAGGAGAAAGGGTTGAATGGATATTGATAGATAGCTTTGGATTACCTGAAATTATATCTTCCAGGATGTACCAGGGAAACTGAATATCAAATGAGTTTTTTTCTCCTTGTCTCCCTGTCTCTCCACTAAGATTTGGTAAAACCTTGCATGAGCTGCAGTATCCTGGACCAGCTCCACAATCACCGCCCCCCTTCAAAAGTTTTCCAGTGATGTCACAGCGTCGTGCCTATCTTTCAAACAACAGAGACAAGAGACACGGATGACGTTCTCACAAACCGGTGTGCGCAGTGTCAGGTTCTGTGGCTCGGCACAAACGCTCATCTGATTCAGACGACATGAGGAGAAAAGCTCCCCTGGGCACTAAATACCATGCTGACATTTACACAGAGAAACTAAAATGTGAAAAAGAAACAAGCCTCATCTTTTAACACCCTGAGATGAAAAGGTGTCTTGTGACAATAAGATTAATTTTCATATCAAACCCATTCTGGTGTACCGTCCGAAACTGAAGTACAAGCACCCTAAAGGCGTCCCCCAACAGAAGAGCTACAGAGCACAAGTCATACATGGGCAAGTAAAAAAGATGACAGCACTGTAGGACACAAGGTCAAGGCAGCGTGTTCGGGAACAGGACATGTAGAGTGTTGTCTTCCCCTGGTGTTTGGATGCAAGGGGCACCAGGGGCAGGTACAGGACACAGCTAGCTCCCGGCCCAGCTCCGTTATCACCCACTCACTCAGTCACATACTCTGCTGGGGCCACTAATGTTTCCGAAGGTTGCACACGGCGCACACACGTGGGCTGGGTGTGAGTCCCACAGGTCCACAACTCTCAAAGGGGAGGTCCAGCTCAGATCACTCACGCATTTGTGGAATATTACACACACACAACAAGGCAGTATAAACACACTCTCTTCGCTTCTCGTTTTAACATGTAAAAAAAAAAAATTCTGAGTAAAATTCAGTCAAAGTTGTATCACACTGCAAATGGGGATCTGTGCGTGCTTGTTTCCCACATATTAGGCTATAATTCACACATAGACTGACTTTAACAACACCACAGGAAGAGAGTGAGTGTGATTATGAAAAGCCTTAACTGACCAAACAATAACACCTACATAAATATCACACAACACCCCCATGTCTCAAATGTGACACGTACAACCTGCTACCGCCAAATCATATACATTACTAATGCTATGCACAGGCATCCATAAATACACAGGCATACATGGAGGTATACAGTGCATGCTTGCTCGAACACACACTCACACATAAATGCTATCTATGGTAAAAAATAACTCCTGCAACATCATGTGGGATGTGCTAATGTGCACCGTATCTCAGCGATGCAGGTTCACAGTAGCAATTTTCACTAATCGAAGGGACTATGTAGTGACTTCATGGTCTCACTTGTCATGTGACCTTTTCAGCCCATTAACGTCCGCACTGGTGATGTCACCATCGGCCCTTCCTGTGCAAGATCAAAACAGCTGCCCGAGCCCACACAGAGACGTGTAAACTAGTGCACTTTTCAGATGCTACTGCTCGGCCCCTCCAGTGGGTAAAAAACAGATGCTACGAATGATCTGCAAACATTTACAGAGATGTGACAGTGTCGGGCTCTGACTGCTTTTCACATCAGAAACATGCAAATTATTTTTCCATTACTGAAAAACCCCTGGTTCTTAATATGATAATTTCTTTTGTAAGTAGCACATCGAATGGCTGATTATTTCTAAATAGAAATAAAGTTATGAAACTAATATAAACAAAAAATAAAAGAATCTGTATTATTTTTATTCTATTTCTAATTTTAATTTGTAGAAGCATCCACTGTAGATGTGACACGTGGGGGGAGCGACCATGCATCAAAGAGCCAGATTTGAAAGTTTTTTCATTTATACAAAATCAGCATTTTACAACCTATCACATATTCAATTTTAGGATTATCAGTTATTTAGACTACATTTGAAACAAAACAAAACACTGGTTTAGTTTTTAAGTGTTCATGTCACAAAAAAGTAAGTTGAAAAACTTTTGAATACTTTCTTCACAAAGTACTTTCTGAAGGAGAACAAAATACCTGTTCATAAGCCTCTGTCTACTCAGTTTACACAGGCTGTCTAGTACAACTCTCAATTACTTTAGCGCGTAATGAGCACTAAATCATAGTGAACATAGTATATGACACACAGACTTTATTTGTTCAGCCCATCCACCTCCACAGCCCTATCTTAAGAGATTCTCACACACACACACCCACCCTTGTAAACTCCCAAACCATGTCGCCACAACATCCCCTTTTTAGAGCCATGAACTCATTCTAATTCTTTCTCTCTCTCTTTTGTCTCACTCTCTTCAATCATACGTTTATTGTTATGTTCATGTAATACTACGTATACCACCACTGGTCAAAATTATTAATAAAAACAAATCAAAAAATTATACAATTTAATAACGCACTCTGCTCTACACAACTGACCAGTCGCGTCTCCTCCAGGCGACAAAAAGAGGAGAAAAACAACCCTGTGATGAACAGAGGGATGAGAAGAAAGGACTGATAGCGGCTGCTTCACTGCCACATGGGTGAGAGGGGAGAGAGAATGACAGGAGGGGGGGCGGACGCACAGGAAGCACATTTGTATGCATTTCCTCTCATAACAGGAAGAGGCCAGTGGCTTCCCCTTCACAATGGCTTCGCTTCTCCTTCCCACCTCCTGCCTGCTTCCCTGGGGGAGGAGGAGGTGGAGGAAGAGGAGGAGTGGAGAGACAGGCACCAAAAAAACTGCTGGTTAGCAAACCAAACATGGACGGACACACACATGTGCGCACACACACACACATAGAGATGTCAGTCAGCTATAGAGCGGCACGATTTGTCTTGAGACAAACACTTATCCCATTGTCAGGGGCCAGGCAGGAAGACACGGGCTTACGCAAAAGGAATAAGAGGAGCCCAAGACCTGGGCCTGAACTCTGCCTCACAGCCAAAGAAGCTGTTAAGAGGGGTATTACGACAAAAGAGGCTTTGTCCTACCTCTAATATATGCTATGCTCCTCTCTCTCCTCAAAACCCCATTTATCATTCTTCTTCTGCATGCCTTCATTATACAGTCGGAAGAGGAGACTCCTTCATCCAGTGTCTAAATCAGAAGTGTCCACTTTGAGTTGCTATAACCGAATCTATGTAACTGATTGAGCAGCGTCTTAATTATGCCAATTCTAGTAAGACTCTAGGTACGCGTCTTAAAATACATGCTAGTTTATATTGTTCTCCTTAGCAGAGGTAGTAATTACATTTCAGTACAGCACTGAAATGGCTGGCTACGCTCCTTCTGTGTATGTTCCTGGTTATACTGAAAAACCGCAACTGGAAAAGGATATGCCTACTGAAAAAAAAGAAAGTGGATGTTATACTGCAAGGTCCAAGTTAGTGGCCGGAACGACAAAAATAACTTCGCTGTCATTCATTTGAGGTGCATAAACTTTTTGTCGTTGCACCGTCGCAAATATAAATAAAAGGAAAAGAAAAGAATAGAACAAGAAACTCTAAGGAGCTGACTGGCTAAAAATAATATTAACATGTTCCCACCTACTTAATTGTGTTTTTTTTAAGGGTTTTCTGAAGAAAAGAAAATTAGAAATTCTTAAAAGGAACTGCATTGTTTAATAAAAAAAAGTTGTAAGTAGATGCTATGCTACACATTTAATTGTTTTAGTGATTTCTGCTGCAAGTAAATAACTTAAAACTTTTCCTACTTACTTTTATTTTGAAATAGTAAGGCCCTTCATAATGACACCGACAGCTAACAAAGGAAACAAATGAGATGAAACTCAGAAAGAAACTTTAAGACTTTCTCGTGAAGAGGGAAACATTAGAGAATGAGGTGAGAGAGCAAAATGAGCCACACGAAGAAGATGAGAATGAGAAACAAAAAAGGAAATAAGTCGAAGGAGGCAAAAGAGAATAAAAAGAAAAATACAGCAGCACGAAGGTGAGAGCTCAGTGAGCCCTTTTTCAGTTGAGGTCTCACACTCGCTTTGGTATAAGAGGAGATGGTAGAAGGTGGGAAACAGGGAATTAGAGGAGGGGAGCAGGAGTGAGGAGCTACCCTGTGGGCCTCATTATTTTCCTGCTGTTAATTTCACTCACACATTTTCTCACCCCAGTGCTGTTGATTGGAGAGAAAAATGCTTTGTCGTAGAAACAAAAACACCCCTTTATTTCAGCTGCGGTTGAAATAGTGAGGAGAGAGTGGACGAGGCGTATATACGCAGGATAACATAAAATCATGTATCTCTCTTTTTTTTTCTTCCAGCCAAGTATGTCTTTGAGTTGTTTGTTGTGGAGTTGGGAAATCCTGTTGTTTTACTTCCTGTTACTGATGACCTTATCCATGCTTGACCTTTGGCCCCCAAGTCCCCTCCCCCTTAAAACCATGTCCCACACATACGCACAGATTCGCACAGATGAGTCATTCTTAATTATGTCCACTGAATGAACTGGCTGCTGAAGTAACACTAATTAGAGCCAATTTCTGCAAATTAGTCGATCCCCGAGACTGACCCCAGAGAGATGGATGTGTTTAACATGTGTTTACAAGCAGGCATGTGTATGTGCTGCATTAACAGGACACTAAATGCACCTAAGTGTTTGTCTGAGTGTGTAATCTGCAGTTCCTCAAACTATGAATCTATGCCCGTGTGCGTACAAACACAAACCTGCACGTGCATCTTGTGCAGTACAGTAGGTGTGTGTACTTACCTACCTGTGTGTGTTTGTTCTCTGTGTGTGTGTTGGGTCAAGAGAGTCTGCTGTCTGTGTGCAGCCCATGAGTTTATGGCACAGGGGGCTCTTTCATGTGCCCGAGGCTGGGAGAGGGTCTGAGTGGTCGGGGGGCTCGGAGCCAGGGCTCGCACACTGCTGCCCAGTGTCCAGAGGTCCGGGCAGCCAGTCAACACCAGGGAGGCCTGGTCCTTCTGCCGCTGCTCTGGGGAAGTGTTTCAGGGCCTGCGGGGTGGCAGCCCGAAGTGGCCGCCCAGAGAGAGCCAGGCCCTGTGCCCACTGTGATGCTGCTGCAGGGAGGGCAAGGGTGGACACGCGGCACTGCCCCGTAGGTGGCAAGGTGGTGTTGACAGCCACGCACACTGGTGCCACGCTTCAACGTGTGTGTGTGTGTGTGTGTGTGTGTGTGTGTGTGTGTGTGTGTGTGTGTGTGTGTGTAGACTCAGACGGAATGTTACAACGGGTCTATATCGTTATTTTCAATTTAATATGTGTGGTACAATGTCCTGTTTTATACAACTTAATGAGATGTTATATAGATATATACAGCATCTGTTAAATTTAACTATAATAGTAATATCAATCTGTTGATTAAAAAAAGACCCGAGAGGAGTTTTCAGAAGATTGCAAAACTTTTTTGATGTAAAAGTATGTGAGGAATTCGAGGTTCAAAGAAACACTATACAAACTCCCCCAGTGTTTATTTGGCTTGTGCTCTTGGACATTTCCTCAAAAAGGAAGTGAAAATATGCAAAGCTAAAGCTTCCGTATTCTTTTCTTTTTTTTTTTAAAAGAAGAAATTTTAGGTTTGCTGTTTCTGTCTGTGTCGTTGTCTTTGTCTTGTGATGTCCGCCTCTGTAAAAATGATGTAATTTAGGCTCTAGGTTGAATGACACTTAATGCCATATGCTCCTAAGAGAGAACTTGGTGTTCTCCGCATGACTTGTTGACATCATATCCGAAGGAATAATTATTACATGGAGCCAACAACAAAATAAGTAATCTATCATTTAAGAGATCAAAACAACAAAATCCAGTGATATATTGATTTTCCTTTCCCTGAACCCTCTCCTCTCTCTCTCTCTCCTCCTCCTCCTCTGGCTGTAAGTAAAGCCCGGATATCTCTGGCATCGATTCCCTTCAGGTGTCCTTCCTGTCTCCCTCTTTCCCTCCTTATCCTCAGGAGCCGGAGTGCTCGGTGCTACTGGCGGGCCCGGTCGACGGTGGGATGAGAGAGGAGGGCTGAGATAACAGTAAGGAGGAAGTGTGGGTGCTTCTGCAACACGATAGCTTTAGTCCTTGTCTAAAACTCTGTGACCTCCTCCTTGTTCTCTCTCTGTCTGACTGCTTGTCTCACCTTCAATAACAAATACATGATTTCGATTATGAGCACACAGGAAAGTATAGTGAAACAACCCCTCCGATTTTTCGTTCTCTTTATATTACAGCCCGACCGATATTACCTTAGCCTTACCAGTGAGTCTCTGCATCACTCATTTCAAAGTATTCCTTTTGAGAGCAAATAATTCAGTTCAAAGTTTATCAACATTTTATTTGTTCTCCGAAGATGGTGATGTAGTTGTCAGCAATACTTGCAAGGGGAAAATAATTCAAGGATCTATATCAGTATCTCTTATGCAGAAGTGAGAACGTTTATTTCTTGGAATAAACAACATAGAGAAGATGTGCATTCATTGTGTTTTCTAATTTGTATAATTCTTTAAAATAAAGTTTAGGATTAAACTGTAAAGTATCAGCCCTCGATCTGTCCTGTATCCAAGGTGAACAGTAAAATCAAGGTATCAGTAAAATCATAAATCATTACTGAAAGCTGCTTCTTTATTTCAGGTACACTCTGTCTCTCACCCTCTTCACAGGATTCTCTTGTTACCATCACATTCATTGAGTTCTGTCATCACAATGGTCAATTACTCTTCCCGCATGACTCAATCGATTCCTCGTGCCTCTTTATGTCACTTTACTCCGGCCACAAATGAATGCTTTTGACGGAGCGCATGGTGAGAAACTGTTTGTGGACCGTTATTGTGGATAAAGATGAGGCAGAGGCAATGAAGCAGGCCCTGTGTCCGCAGAAGGTGCGTATGTTTGACCTGTGATCCAGGGGGCCACATTAACAGCGTATGGATCCAATTGGGCTGCCAGGAAGCTGACAAAGTGTCAGTGGTCAGTTGTGCCACAGGAAGTGATCGATTGTGGGCCTCGAGGGCAGTGTGGAGAACTATGTCTCTATCTATTTCCTGCCACAGACGCCGGTGTCTGCTTGAATCACGTCGTCCGCTATTTATTACGTCTCTCTCTCTCAAGTAATGCCAGCTGTTGTGCAAAAAAGTGTCCTGCAAGAACTGCATAATTGAAAAGTAGCTGTTTAAGCATGAAGTTTTCTTTTGAATTATTAGATCAGTGATTTAACACCTTACCTAAGTGCAATATAGAGGAAATCTACTGCAAAGACATACTGTCTCATTGTTTGTTTCGCAGGCCACCCTTAATCTCCACCCTGTCCAGCGTGCGTCACTTCAGATCATCCATCTCTGTTGGGTTGTTTGTTAACAAGTTTTCTCACCCTCTCCCGGTAATATTCCACTGTCAGTGAGCTAAACTGGGTGGCATGGTGTGAGAGGTTGGGTGCCTCAATTGGCAGCAGCCCTCAGAGAGAGGGGCACTGATATGCCAAATTAATTTTGAGACATACAAATGTACTCATGCAAATTCAAACATCCTGCAGTCCTCACACTGGTGTTTTTAGATGGAGGAGAAACAACACTGCTATTATAACCCAATAGATCTTCTACACCCGAAGCAATAACTGTGTTATCCCCACACACGCCTCTGTCCCCCAGTTCACATATTGCCCAGACTCCCAGAAGACCTTCATTGTTAAGGGCTGTGTGGGGTGCAGGGTGTTTCTCCTTCCTCCCTTCTCTACCTCCACACTCATCCATCCTCCCATCCCCCAGGGACTCACCTGTCTGTTGCGTTCATCCATAATCCGCGTGATCTGAATCTTTTTCCTCCCCATCGTCCCCGTCTCTTTTCTCTCTCTCCTCTTTCTCAAAAAACTTTATGCTTTCTTCTCTCTCCTCTTTCTTCCTTTCTTCCTCGTCTTCTTCTTCTCCTTCCCTTTCTTCACTCTTCTGCTCTTCCTTTATCTCGTCGTTTTTTTTCTTCCCTGCTTTCTATTTGTTCCAATCAACTCAAAGATTCCAGCATCTGTACCTGCAAGACAGGAAAAAGGAAAAAGGGGGGTTGGGGGGAGGAGAGGAGAGGGTGAGCATTAAATGAAATGAAATATGGCAAAATACTGAGAGAAAAAATAATAAAAGTGGCATCATGGCAGCCACAAGGGAGGTTGAAGAAAGACAAAGAATCTGTCAACAATGTTGTGAGAACCGCTGTGTTTTTCACTGTCGATATCATGCAAATCAGGTTTTGCATTTTTTTTTTCCCAGGCACCGACTATGAGAAGAGACAGCGCTGTCAGGATCTTGCCTCGTTCACAGAGACTTTGACAGTGTTTTGGAAGTGCCGCTAACTTAAACGCTCTAATCACCAACACTGTTACATTACCTCCAGACTGAGAAATACATTTTGTTTCTTCCCACGAAACTGCACTGTATTGACAGTGGAGCTGCCAGAAACATCTTTTTCTGCTCTATCTGCAGCTCATCTACAAAACTGCAGGCGTGAGTGGCGAGATAGGATACAGATGTAAAACTGAGCTCAGTGTTGCCATGTTCTGACAAAACAAAAGCTAAAATAAAAAAGAGGAAAATGGGGGGGGGGGGAGTGCCAAAAGTCATCGTTTGATAGTTGATAGTAAAAAAAAGTTTTTTCTTAGAGACAGAAATCAAACAAAATTCCAACATGAAGTTAATCCAGCTGGAGATAGTGCACGTCAGTGAGTGCATCTGAGGAGCAAATGCACTCCTGCATTTGCATGAGTGTGCAGATTAGTGTGTGCGTGTGTACCTGTGTTTCATGAGCGCAGGCCAGCGCGGCTGCTGCTGTGCTGGACTGCATGTGCGAAGAAGAAAGCTGCGCTCCAAAAAGTTTGCGTGAGTGAGTGACTGTGTGTCCATGTGTGTGTGTGCACGTGTGCGAGTGTGTGTTCTTGTGCGAGCTTGGCTAAGCCCGAGCTCCAGTGCATCTCTCCAGAGTGCTAAAGTAGGCCAACCCAATCTATCTCAGGGAGGAGCAGAAGAACTGTTGTTGTGTTTTCTTTTGACAGTAGAGGTGATAACGTCCCTCGTTATGCAAATGAGCATCCCATTATTTAAGCTCAGTGCAATGCAGGGGAGCTGTCAGCGCCGTCACATAAAAAAAAATCTTCCATCTACCCTGCCTTTTTTTTCTCTCTCTCTACTTTCCCCTTCTTCTCTCTTCTCTCCTTTCTGAACCAGATTTCCGGCACCTGGCAGCACAAGCATCAGACGCTGATGTGGAAGACGACACCGCTTCACCAAAAGACATGTCAGTCTCAGTCTCTCTCTCTATCACTCGCTCTCTTCTCTCATAAACCCTTGCTCTCTTCCTTGCTCTCTCAGATTCTCTCCTTTGCAAGCTCCCACACACACGCACAGGCACATTGTAATGCACTTCCTTTACCCTTCTTTTCTTTTTTCCCTCCCTAACCTGAATCCATGTATTTATTGAGTAACATGCATGAGAAAGCACAAGAAAGCTCTAAACCCCTGAGGTGAGTGCAGCACATTGCTATGCACTTGACCTCTTTGTGCTGGAGTGGAGGACATTGATAATGAAAGAGCGTAATAGGAACATCCAGGCGTACTAGTAATAGTGACAGACAAAAGGCCTGTAGCAGTAACTAGAATGATCATGTGTCCCTTCAGAGTCCATGTGCAAAACACACAGATACCTGAATTTATTTCAGATTTAATATGAAATAACATCACTCTGAATATATTTCAAGAATCTCTGCCCCGAAAGTTTCACATGCACAAAAAGGGTAAAACAAAACAAGACAATACAATTTAAACAATGATGAAATGAGCAACAAAAAGCTCCCTGAGTTGATGTTTGGAACACGCCCACTTATGGAAGGAATGAGATACAAACACAAACACATCACTTGACAGTTTGGACAAACAGCCGATCTACGCCATCACAATAATAACAAGATCTAAAATAACTCTGTGGCAGCTCTTAAGAGGCTACCCAAAACATTTTAGCATCACTGTGAGCAAACACACCCAACCGATAGACGGGAAAACAAAACGCTGCCCCCTGGAGAAAAAAAACAAAGACGGATGTTGTCAGACAAACTCGGATTACAAACCAACACTAAGGCACTTGGCACAAGACAGCCAGACAAGGATATCAATCAAGCTGGCGTACCTCAATCACAGGCTGACAGCATCATCCCCACCCAGTCTTTGTGCACAACAACACTACACGGCCCAGGCATCGCTCCAAACAAGGAGGCGTTACCGACGTGATCCCTGCCTCCTGGCCTCCACCTCCTCCTCGTTCCACCCACAGCTCAACGAGCAGAACTGAACCTCTCAATGTCAACACCCGCTGGGGCAACACCTTAGGCCTTACGTAACATTAATGCTAAGACTAAGCCCGTGTCCTGAACATTTAATCCCCGCACACTTGGCTCCCAGCGCCAGCCAATGCTCCCCGAGGTGAGGCTCTGGTGCCGCTCGCCGCTTAGCCTCGTGCCTCCCCACCTCTGCGCCTCCACCCCTTCCACCCGCCACATTTCCTCTCACTCTTGCCTCCTCCTACGCATCGACTAAAGTTCCCTTCCCGTCGTCCCAACCACCCCTTTTCCCGCCACCATCCCCCACTCTTCTTCACACCCGCCCCCGTCCCATATGAGTGCCAGGCAGCTCCTGGTTAAACACTGCCCACCTCCTCATCAGGCTCCCTTCCCTCTCCTTCCCTTGTGGTGAACGGAGCATCAGTTAACAGATTACCACCGAATCACTCAATCCAATTTAGCCTCATAACGCCATGGCAGTGAAACAGAGCGAAATCAAGCCCTGCTAAGTAAACATGTTCAAGTGGCAGAGGGCAGAGATCCTGAGCAGGAATTTTTCACAGGCACACCTGACCTTGAGAGGGCAAAGAGGTGAGAATGCAACCAGAGGAAAAATGAAGACGCACAGCGCAAGACAGGAGAAAGAACTAACAAGCTTTTAGACATTAAGCCAATTTACTAATCCCTAAGTAAGGCGTAGGGGAAGAGGGAATGAGCTGCGAAAGATGAAGAATACACTTAAGAGTTTATTTGTCTTCTCTGTGGAGTCTGACTAATGGTAATGCCTGCATTCACACGAGTACTGGTAACTGGATGGCAGGCGACTGCTGAGGTCAGAGAGCACGCTGGCACCGAGTGGGCCGAAGCGCGACGGTTGCTCCTCTGCTTGTTTCATACCCTGGGTCCCAACTCTCTGCTGCTTTGAGTTGGAGAGGTGACAATGAAAGAAGGAGATGGGCAGTGAATGGGAGGAGAACTGAGAAATTGAAGAGGAGAGAGGGGGAAATGGAGTGAAGAAGCACGGAGAGGAATCTTTTTGAACAGGCACCAGACCTCTCCAGGGGGAGGGGAAGAGCTGTACCCACGACCCTCCCATCTGTTAAGCAGACGGACGGAGAGAGAGAGAGGGGGGGGGCGAAGGTTGGGGGAGGATGGGAGAGATGGAGAGGGAGCAGCGATTCACCATAGATCTAATGAGTATTCTCTCTCTCTCTCTGTGTGTGTCTCAGAAGTGGAGCTGAGAGGACGACGAGAACATATACACTCAGTGCACCACAAGGCTTGATTCTAGGTCGCCTCTCTCCCAAGTGTTTAGTCACTAAAAACTAATATACAGCACAAAGCGCTTTTTCACATTCTAATAGACAGTCTGTAGGGTGCTTGTTAATGTGGCTTTGTTATTGAGGACAGACACTGGAGATGACTCCTTCGAATCAAGGGGGGGGCAACAAAAAGAGGAACTTTACCTTGACTCATGCTCAGGCCTGCAATTTGTCACATTGAAAGATGGTTGCTAAGGTTTTTTGTTTGCGAGCTACTGAGAAGGGATGTGACATGAAATGAGAAGAAATGTGGGGCTACACAAATTCTCCTTCCAAGAAAAAAAAGGTTGAGCCCAGTTCAGCTTCGCCCTTCAGAGAATTGAAAAGGGGAAAGATGTTAAAAACGAAAGTCGCAGTCCTGTAAATGCGACGTGTGCAGGATTCTGCTGATGCTGACATTCTCAAATCCTAATTCTACGTGTTGTAGCAAATTGGGGAAGGTGATTTATCACGACAGGATTGGCGATGTTTTTCCAAGAAACCCCACCTCGGCAGCACAGCCTCGGCTCATGGTACATCTGCAACACATTTGGTACTAGCATGTGTCCTGGATGAAGAAAA